TATATTTTACGTTTAAGTCCTCTCATCGAATCAAGATAATTATAATTTATAATGGATGTCGCTAGAAAAAAAAATTGTTCAAAGAGAAATGCAAGTGACAAATTATTTTCATGTACCCATTTTTTTTCATCTAAAACTCATCTGAAATGTCACAGTTTGGTGAACTGATTGGCGAAAGATAATGATCTAAATAATCAAGCAGATCTGTCGGCGTTTAAAAACTGGCTGTGGCAGAACACCTGCTCACAAAAAGCACTGAAACATTTCAAAATGTTACATGCAGGAGCCATTTACACTTTCAGCAGAAAGAAAAGCAGCCCAACCTAAGTGTATCCACAAACACTGGATCGTTAAAAAGTAAAAAAAATAATCTTTACATGTATATAAATTTGATTGATGCTTTGTGGATACTTTCAATGGTGACGTTTCAGTTAATAATATAGACCGATTAAAAATGTACTTCCTTACTTACAAGCAATCCACTATTTTAATAAAGAGCATATATTCTTTAAAAATTAAAACTAAGCTTCAGATTTTATTAGTATGTACTAATTATGCAAAATTATAATCAGTAGTTGGGTAATATAGATGATTTGGTTTCGATTTATAAACAAATCAGAATTTTCTTGTAAAATAGACGAAAGATGAAGTAGTTTCCAATAATTTATTCTAGACACATTTTATGATTTTCCAAACTGGTCGTTACAACAGTTTTATTAATATCACTGATATTAGGAAAACATGTAAAATCATATATTTCTATGAAAGTTGCTCTGATGAGCTTTCCTCTTATGTACACCGATTGCATGAATTTAAGCGTGCTACTAGATTGGCAACTTGGTCTCATAGTTTTAATGTCGAATTAACTAAATACAACCATCTGTTCAATTCGAATAGTTTCTTTACTCGCACTTTTTACCTTTCTGATTTCCTGCTTCAAATGCAATCTTCAAAGATTTAAATGCAACGTCAATCGCCATCTTCTGTCTTCCTGAATCATTTCTCCTTGCTTCTCCTCACTAAAGGCTTCCCATTCCTTGTAACCCCCTGTGTCCTACTGGCATTATCGTCTTGCTTGGGGTGAACTTATATATATATATATATATATATATATATGTGTGTGTGTGTGTGTGTGTGTGTTTGATGTAGACAGCAAATTCTCTTTTAGGCATGTCTGACTAAATAAATTACAAACATTATGCCTGCTTATTTTTAGCATAATCCGTTTATATTCACGGATATTTTCCGTGTATCACAATGTATCCAGTAATGGATAGCTACATATAGTTTTTCCCTTACCAGTTGCACCGCTGATGATGATCGCAGAAAGAGATAGAAAGCACTTGAGTAATAAAAGTGATTTTCACTGTTACAGTGCATTTCTTGCATCATTTGATTGTAATACACGGAAAAGTATCCGTGAATATGAACGGGTTATGCTAAAAGTAAGCAAACATAATGTTCGTAATTTATTTAATCAGAAATGCCTATATATATATATGTGTGTGTGTATCATTCGCATGTACTGTTTCGCAGCTCCTCAATGCGACTAGACAACCGGATAACTCAAGCCCGGATCGAAACCCAACCGATTTGGTGTCAGTCAGAGATTCTACCACTGAGCCATCTTCACTCGAGAGAATAGAATGTATTGTTTTTACAAACGTAAACAAACGCCAAGCAGCCAAAGTGCTCCATTCATTTTACAGAGGAGCTTCCCATTTACGCAGTTGATCGTTGTTTTTAGAATTAGCTTGTCGTTCAACGCTTAATTGAAAATATATTTTCAAGAGCTAAATTATGTCATTCGCAGACAGTACTTTTTGGCTGTATCACAGCTCTGCAGTGCGACTAGACAACCGAATGCCTCAAGCCCGGATCGAAACACAACCGATTTGGTGTTAGTCAGAGCTTCTACCACTGAGCTATCTTCACTCGAGTTAAAGACCGAACGCAGATCAACTGTAGATTGGAATCCGACATGATGATAAAATAAAGAATAAATAGGAAACGTATATCAATCTAACATGTTTCAGTTTTATTGTATCTTCGTCAGTGATTGACATCCACTGAATATAAAACCCGTCAAGAGAGAGGGGGCCAATATCTGCATTGTAAAACTTTTACGGAAAGGAAGCTGCAAGAAATTGGTATGAACACCACCCAGACCCGGTTACGGACATAGAACCAGTAACATATTTTATGGAACTTTATAATACACACGGACAGAAAAAAAACATTTTATATATATATATATTATATATATATATATATATTAATAATAATAATAAACATAATCCTCACAAAACTCCACCATGGAAGTAGTTCTTTTAGTCCTTAGTATCTGGAATTCTGAATTAAAAAAAAAACAAAAAAGTCAACATTTAAACCAAAATTTCTTGTTGAGTAATCGATAGAATATAGTTTCGTCTATTGCGATCTCTGATACGCAATATCAGCTGATCTTTATTGAAACAAATGAGTGATTGAAGAATAACACAAAAGTGGTCTGGTTTTGGTCAATAGAAAGTATGTCAGTCTTCATGGTGACAATGCAAACACAAAGTCAATAAAATAATTTCAGAAAAAAAAACCCCAAAAAACCCAAAAAAAAACACAGAAAAAAAAAACAAAAAAAAACAAAGAAACACGCATCATTAGGAAGAGGTTTCTATTCCCTGAATTTAATATTTTCAAATTTTAGTTTTGTTCGGATCAATGGATTTTTTTTAAGCAAATCACCCCAAGCAAGGCGTCAGTGCCACTAGCACACAGGGGTGGGGGGTTACGGAGAGTAAGAATAAAGAGGAGTTTTTTGGGTAAAGGATAAAAAGGAGGATAGGGATCAAGTTCAAGGCATCAGAAGATATCGATTAAAGATTATAACTATCAGAGAAACAGGTGATAGGAAAGGAGCTCCAATGGTGGGAGGTACGTGATAAGTTGTTGGAGTAGAAAAAAATGACTACATTTAGTCGTTTTGACAGTGAAAGGGTGGGGGGGTCCGAGGTACCAACCTAGTAGCACGTTACATTCTTAGTGTCTTAGTGGCAAAATCTTTAAAACCTCGAAAGAGAACAATTCAGCTTGATCAAATTCTTTTCATCCAGAATCTCACATTCTTTCAACAAGAAGTAAATCAATTATTTTCCAAACGAGATTTTTATCAATGCTAATTATAATGATTCGACAGATTAAACTCCTTAAATTTAAAGAGTTTCTATAACATCTCCAAGAAAACATCACGATATTCTAAATATTTTATTTATTTATTTTTCATTTATTTATTTATTTATTGTAATGCCCTAAATATTTTTCGGGATGTCAATTCTCGTGAACCTGTTAGTAGTAGTATCAGTAGTGTTGTGCGACCGGATAAATAATCATTTTTATGACTCCTGAAATATTGTTTATCCCGCAAACAATATTTTTAAGGCTGATGTGGGTCCAGGTACATAAGGACCAAATGTATAATGAAATGGACAACATTGGCAGCAGTTTGATAGAACAATTCAACATTATATGTGGTGATGAAAAGAAAGGGCAAGACAAGGATTCAAAACAACCATCAAATTATATATTGATAAAATATGTTTACAGCATGATTAATATTTTGTTAGTTATACTTATACAGGAAAGAAAGGAAGTTCATCATTTAAATTTTCATCACAATCCTCAGTTGAAGTTTCTGGAGTGATTCTGCTCATGTTGCAAGAGGTTAAAAAAATATCGTGGTCAGCGTAAAATGCTAGGCTTTCGAAAATCGCGCCCCCTGTACTTCTAGACCAGGGGCGATAATCCCACAGTATCAACTATCTAACATTTCTACTCAATGCCTAACAAGACACATTATCCAATTACGACAAGATAACACATCTTAAAGTTCCTTTTTTGTATGGTTTATTGAAATAAAAAAATCCTGATATAAAATTGTATAAAATGGTAATCTTTAAAATTAGGCTAATAAAAAAAAGCAAAGAAGACCTTTTTAGATAAGCTGACTTAGGCTATAGAATTATAAAATATATATTCTTTTTAATTTATTTACTGATGTGAAATGCCCCAAAGATTGTGAACACGAGAAATAGAAATGGCAAACCGGTTCGATTTTTGTGTCCAGTTCATGCCATGTCCAGGTAGTTAAAGTAAAGCTGTTGCACCTATTTTCAGCCTTGAACCGTCGAAATAAAGAAACTTCTAAATGTTGGGAAATGTTGGCATATTCCAAGTGAAAATATCTCACAGCACATCTTTTATGCACAATGTCTATACAGGACAGAGCGATCATGGTTCTCCACCATTTCTTGTTTCTTGTTGCTCTAAGAACAAATTTACATTTCTCTTTGTTCCTTCTCTGCCATCCATTCGCCCAAACTTTCTAGGTAAGTGACACGTTGATTGATTCTCTCTACCTATCCTATGTATGTCCTATGAGAGTTAAATTTTCCAAGCCTTCTTTCCTCATAACGTATCCTAGATAATGCCACTCTCTCTTTCTGATTTTAAAATCAGGAAGAGAGATTGGCATTTTCTGGTATAAGTTATCATTTTCTTTAAAATTTTTAAATCATTTATATGGAAAACCAATACTCTTTTCTTTAAAAATATTTTTCTATTATTATTTTTCCTATTATTATTATTATCATTATTATTAAAAAAAAAAAAAAAAAGAATATTAGGCCTGCCTCGTGATTGAAGTAGTTGTATGTTTTTCGAAAAAGTAAAAAGCTAATATATCGAATGCTGATTTTCAAGGCATACAAGCACTGATCACTTAAAAGATCGGTTCAATACAACCGTCGCTATCTATTTGTTCTTATACCGGGCTGAGTTAAATTTATAAAATAAAAGTGTACCTCATGACGGAAATAGAATCATGTTTCCGAACGGAACAAAAAGTCGATCCTTTCATTTTATTTGTTTGTTTTTTGTTTGTTTGTTTTTTGTTTTTTGTTAGGTTGGCATCCTCAGCCTGACTGGAAGATTGGCGCAATCCTAACAAGATTTGGCTCTGTGATGAGAAAGCAAAAAAAGACAAAAGAATATAAAAAAATATGGAAAGGGAAAAGGCGAAGAGTCTGATAAGAAAGAAAGAAAGAAAGAAAGAAAGAAAGAAAGAAAGAAAGAAAGAAAGAAAGAAAGAAAGACGATGAGAAATTAGAAAAATGTGAATAGAAATGTAAAAGTTAAAAGACAAGTCAAATGAGAGAGGGGACGAACCTGTGACGATTAAGAAAGAAAGAAAGAAAGAAAGAAAGAAAGAAAGAAAGAAAGAAAGAAAGAAAGAAACGAGATGAAAAGTAAGAAAATGAAAAAAAGAGCTAAAAAGGCAAGAAGAGAATAGAAAGAAGAGATAAAACTGTGTTGAAGAAGAAAGAGGAAAACAAAAGAAGATGAAGAGTAAAAAGAGTCAGAAAAGAAAAATGCAATGAGTCAAGACAATAGAATCAGGGAGAAAAGAAAGAAAGAAAGAAAGAAAGAAAGAAAGAAAGAAAGAAAGAAAGAAAGAAAATGAATAGACATATAAAGTTAAGAGACAAGACAAATGAGAGAGGGAAGTTAATTATGGCGATTAAAAAAAAGAAAGAAAGAAAGAAAGAAAGAAAGAAAGAAAGAAGCGTGATGATAGGTCAGACAACATGATGGGTAGTCGTATTTTTGTTTCGCTTTCTTAACCAATAGATTTCCACGTCTATTAAAAGGGGAAAACATTGACTATAGCAAAATACTAAGACATTCTGACTTGTATATTGATTTTCCACTTACCAATATCGATATCCTGATTTCCTATAAGTTATCTTTATTGCTCAACAGCATTCACTAAAAATGAGTGAAACTGACAATGACTGAATTTGAAAAATTGACAATGACTGAACTTGAACCCAGGTTAAAATATTCGAGTTTCACACTATCGATGCGAACAGATAAGAATTCCCACTGAGCAAAAGTGAATAAGAATTTTTGCAAAAGCGAATAAGAACACGAGGCTAAATCCATCGTACGTTAAATGATTGTGTTTTTTTTTGGTGGGGGGGTTGTTTGTTTGTTTTTTTTAACTTCTGGACTTCAGCAATTCATATCGGACTGGGATCAAAGTGTAGTATCTGTCTCCTGGCGGATAAACTACATTTTATCTCTCAATTGTACCTCTGTCTATTAACAGAACGCAACTGCAAATATTATTAAGAGGTGCCTGGTCCCGGAAAACAGCTGCCCGCGGCAATACCTCCCTGAGTGGGGATCAGTAGTAGTACCGATGCCAGCCCAACCGACGATTGCGGGGCCTGGGTGGTTTTTTGACCACACCCGGGTGCACGCGCTCGGACTCCCCATATTAAACTGAACAGCGCTGAGCGACAAGTAAATACTAAGTGTGTTTGGCTTTGGAAGCCTTTTTTCGAATGTATATGTGAAAGACTCTCTTTGCCTTTCCCTCACTGTTGGGAAGGGAAGCTCATATATTTCCTATCATCTAGTTGTTCCATGAGTGCACGCCTTAAGCTCTCCTATGTCGATCCCTTTTTTACCAGTCTAGGGTAGCCGCTGACATACTGTGAGTCGCAAATCTGCACCTGGTAGCTGTGAGGTTACCTTCCAGGTGAACCTTCTGATGCCCCTGACTCCTCTGATTTTCTGGTGTGACACTGAGTGCAAAGTCGACTTTAATGTCTCTTAGTGTGACCCACGTACATAGGAGGGTCATTACAGATCAACTTCTTTATTGGCATTAAATACCATTGGGGGGTCATCTGTTATTTCGTAACATTAATCGCACACTACGCAAGAAACGGTACGATTCTATACCTGCTGATTGTTGTAGAAGATCGGTGATTTGAGGGTTAACAACACCGATGAGATGAATGTGGCCTCGAGCAATCATATTAAATATTACCCCCCCCCTATCTATTTTACCGTTTGCGTGATTTTATAACATTTTTGGTGGATTAATATACAATTTATAGTTCAAAAAGAAAATGACATTTTTTTAAATTATTTCACCCTAAGCAAGGTGATAATGCCGCTAAGACGCAAGGGGTTACTGAGAGTGAAAGAAAATGAGAAGACGTTAGTGAGGAGACGGGACAATAAATTAACAGGTTTCAGGAAGACAGAAGATGACGATTGATGTTGCATTTAAATTTACGGTTACATCTGGCTAATTCAACAATAAAACGACGAGACTTAATTGCTAATCTAGTCGTGCGCTTAAATTCATAATGTCGACGTACCAAGGAAGAGAGCTCATTAGAACAACTGCTATGGAAATATTTATAGGAAAGACCCAGGGAAGCCATATCACAGCTGAAGTCGAAATGCCAGATCAGGGCTGTCGTTGAAAATCTTGAGATATATAGCAAGATGTGACACTATTTAGGGTTGCGTGAAAAAAAAGGCGAGAATTAATTTAGGTGATAAGAAGCTATCACGAAAGGACACTGAGCGATGTTGTTTTTTCTAACAAAGAAAAGTGGTAAAGATTTTATTTTCATTTGCGAAAAAAAAAAGTATCCTTTTTCTCACGCAGAAGATAGGAGATTCGTGAGATACCGGATCTGTCGAATTAATTTATGTTACGGCGCGGCGAAAGAAGATAGCAATCTGTCCATGGCAATAATGAAAATTTCAAATTGGTCAAGTGGCCTACAGGACAGAATGCTAAGAGATAATATTAATTAGGTCATGCACTGACCGAGAAAAATGTCCGCTGGACCACCCACAAGTTACAAAGAAGGAAAGATTAAACCATTAACTATCCTTCGGAGATAACATTGGTTTGAAAAAAAGCATCTGTTTTATTGTCTAAACCTAGACATGATGAAAGTTTGTATCGGAAGAGATAATTAGCGACAGAATGCAAATACGTCCAGTTAAACCACCTACTTGACGCTGGCGAAAATCTCGATTGATAAAGTCCAGATGAAATTCGGTTAAGATAGAGATTAGAGACCATCCTACAAGTCGTGTGAGGTCTGCTCGTGGAAGAGAAAGAAAAGAAAAAAAGGGAAGATAATTTTTTTTTCTTTGAGCGATAATTGCAAACACCCACGCTGTTGAGCGTTCATTGGATGAAGGGTGGCGTGAGCGGTAGACGAAGGTAAACTATGAAGAAGGAGGGGAGGCCTGTTGACGCCCCCCCCCCCACAGGGATTAGTGTGAGATGCCACTGTGAGAGAGAGGGGAACCTGTTGACGCCCTCTGAGGGGATTGGTGTGAGATACCAATATGAGAAAGGAAGAATTTGGGAGAACGATTCCCTTTAAGTAGAAAGTAAGGACTTCCAAAAATGGAATGTAATAAATTTTCCTATCCGAGAACAAAGAAGATCCTTATTGTGGATTTAGAATTATCAAGGAACCTCAAACCCCGACAAGCCCACCCCGGTTTTGGTCGGCGTCCATATAAGCAGAGTCGCAACGAGTGGACGGCAATTGGGGTTGAAGAGACAGGCAAGCAGTAGAGTTGGAGTTGGAAGTTGGAGAGAGAGACGCAGAATTGAGCTGTGAGCTCTGAGACCCGCCTCGCAGAAAGCTGGTTGAGATTCCACGCATCACGACCTCAACTTCTAACGAAGAACAATTTATTTTTGAAGAACGACTTAGACTCACACCACCAAAACAAGTTTTACGAATATCGCCTGAAGATACACCAAAAACCAGTTTCTTGAAAAAAAACAACTTAAGATGTTAAGACTTGCCTAACAAACACAAAGTGTCACGAATCCATATTAGCGGTTTGGGAGAAAGACGCAGTCCTGTAATCAGCAATCAGATATAAAATGTTGTTATTCTTTTTTAACACATTTGAACTTTTCGAGTTGTTACTTTATTTTCTTTTACATATACTTGTGCGGTATTGCCCCTGTTCGGACTCGACTTGCATTGCGGCCCGGCGACTGATTGATTTCGTCTACCTAAGATCAAATCACAACGTGGGTAGGTTAGACTAGAAATCAAAGCAGTTACTTCGGTAACCAGATGTTGGAGGCGAGCTGGGAACGACAAGGCTGATACCGAATCTAACCAGATTCCCACCCGAATCAGCAAAAGGTTAGAACGTCACATTTGGTGCCGCGACCAATACCAAGTCACATTGGTCGTCGCAGGATAGGACGGCGACGGGGCAGACAGCACGGGGTGACGTCACAAAGAGCACCAGGCCAAATATGGCAACAATATCCAATGCACGGACGAATGGTAGATTTATAAATGCACAAGATGGATTCTTACGAGAAAATTATCTGGCACAATATAGTGAACCAACATTCTTATCAGCGGACCTAATAATTGATTCAATGTAAATATTCCACTTCATGTCAGCGGAAAACGAGAGACCCAGAAGGCGTAAAGAGTTACTATCCTGGAGGTTAGCATCAGCCATGCTGATGGAATACAGAAATAGTTCACTTTGATGATTAAAGAGAGTAGTTTCGTTTTGGAAGCCTTAAAATTTACAAGCCATTTCTTGTCCCAGTTAACAACTGATTGATTTTCGAGATCAGCTATCAGTTTTACTTTATTGAACTTATCGAACTTACTATTAAAACAGGAATAAATAGTTGAGTCATCAACATAAACACTGATTTTGGAACTGATGACATCAGAGAGAATCACTGATGAAGATAAGAAACAACTTAGCTCTAAGGCTAAAGCTCAGGCGGACCACCCCCATTAATTTAATATTTAAGTAAATGCTCTGTTTATAATAAACAGTATTAACGACATTTACCGGCCTGAATTTTTATCGTCGTTATTAATATTATATTATGTCGTTAATACTGTTTATTATAAACAGCGCATTTACTTAAATATTTGTATCTATAAAAAGAACGTATAAACATAAAAAATGTCTTAAAAAATAATTGTCAGACGTTAGAAGTCACTTTTCTATTTACATACTTTCGATCCCTGATATTCACCACTATTATTCATAATATAGCATACCAAAAAACTAGATTTTATCATCTATATATATATATATATATATATATATATATATATATATATATATATGTATGTGTGTGTGTGTGTGTGTGTATTTCATGTTGTTTATGCCAAATTATAGACCTACCATCCGAATATCGCAATCGAAATCGAGACTGATCTGACTAGGCAACATTTTCCATTCATCTGTTGTTCAATTCTTGCCATTCTTAGCAAATTGTAGCCTCAGTTTCTTTGTTCTTATCTGAAAGCCGTGACACATGGTCTTCTACTGTTGCTGTAGCACGTCTACTTCAAGGTTCAACGTGCTGTGCGTTCGCAGATGCTCTTCTGAATATTTCCGTTTGTAAAAAGTGGTTATTTGAGCTAGTGTTGTCTTTCTATTAGTTTGAAACAGTCTGGCCATTTTTCTCCAATCTCCTTCAACAATAAGGCATTTCCGCCCACGAACTTGTCGCTCAGTGGATACTTTTCTTTTTCTAACCATTCTCTATAAACCCTAAAGATGATTGTGAATGAAAATTCTTATGCACCAGCAGTTTTGATTTAATACACGGGGCCCCAGTCTGGCACAAACGACCA